CCTCTACTTCTCTGACTGCTGTGGCTCTGCCTTTTAAACGTAGGAAGAGTTGTTCCCCCACCACTGACTCTGCAATGCTGGGGGGACAGGGGAAGCAGAGGTGCAGTGTGGGACCTGGTGCGAACGGGAACTGAAGCAGTCTAACTTGCACCAGGTCCCCAACTTCTGTGGCTCTGCCACCAGGCTCTTACTACATTTAAAAAGGCAAAGGCACATCTGGGTTAACTCCCAGGGCCAGTGTGAACCGGGATTGCTTAGTCCCAGTTCATGCTGCCCCAAGGAACTAACCCCGCTGCAGCTCTGCAGTTTATATGTAGTAGGAGCCGGGCTGCTGGATGCCCAGCTCCTACTACATTTAAATTGCAGAGCTGCAGCAGGGTTAGCAAGTGTCACCTCCCCCATCTTCAACATCTACTACTCCATTAGCTGATTAATCGCAATTTAACATCCGTAGTGCTAACTGGGCAGCAGGCTGAGAATCTGTGTTCTAAGGCCATTTCATTTTTAACAGTGCCTTCCATTCAAAAATCTCAAACTTTACAAACATTAAATAACAAAGCCTCAAACTCTGAGACTGACACCATTATTCCCAATTTACAGATAGACGAACTAAACCACAGAGAGGTTAAGATATTTGTTCTAAGTCACAAAGTCACAAAGATAACTGTCAGAATCTGGAACAAAACCAAAAAGGAAATATAGTTCAGTGGTTAAAACACTAGTCTAGGCATTGGAAGACCTGGGTTTAATTTCCTGCTTTGCAAAAGACATGCTATTATTTCTCTGAGCAAGTCACTTAGTCTGTGCCTTGGTTCTCCAGTTGAAAAATGGAGATAACAGTCTCTCCATCTCAACACTTTTGTGAAGATAAACACATTAAGGATTGAAACAAGACAGGACTATGCAGCACTTTAAAGACTAACAAGATGGTTTATTACGTAATGAGCTTTCGTGGGCCAGATCCACTTCCTACGAAAGCTCATCGTCTAATAAACCATCTTGCTAGTCTTTAAAGTGCTGCATAGTCCTGTCTTTTGTTTCAGCTAGACCAGACTAACACGGCTGCATCTCTATCGCTATTAAGGACTGAGGCATTCTGGAAATGAGGTCTATATACTCTCTCTCCTCACTCTTAGTTCTCTGCTTTAAAAGGGATATTATCTTGAAAATTGTTTCTTTTGGAAAAAGTCTGATGTTGCACTGAACTCATACGATTACAATACATGAATAAAGTTTTTTTCCAGTTGATTTATTTTTGCATTTGACAGCATTGTGAATATAGTTCATTAAACTATTTTGCTGATGGTCCACTGTACTTCTGTCTTTATGTACAGTCATAATTAGCAATGGGGGAAACTTACATGCTACTTCCACAATTTCTACAAGATGTAATTGGAACAACATTACTTTAAGGTTACAATACAATCTACTACAGCAAGACACACTTGCATACACAAGTGTTTCCAACACATGTAAACTATTTACAAACAGTAAACATTTGGCCTTGTCATTACTACTTGTCTGGTTTACAGTAATACCAGTAGACCCCAAACTAGATCAGAGCCCCCCTGTGCTAAGGTGTTGAACAGTTATGTATTAAAACAAAAAAGAAAAACATCCCCCCTCATAAAGCCCCTCATATTTATCAGCTAGCCTCCTTCCCTGTATAGACCTAAGCCCCTTTCCCACCTCTTCCATCCTTTATGACCTGGCGCCGAATAATACTAGATTCTCCTTCTTGCAATCTCTCAGCTCCTCCTACCAAGGTCCTCACATAACTCTGTCACAATTTACCACTTCCTCCAGGGGGCTGGGCCCATCTTCTCATCTGCATTTTCCGCAACTCTGCTGTAATGATAAAGTCCTTTTCCTATAGCCAAATTATAAGATCTGAAGCCTTTGTCTGCAGCCAGATTAGGAGAGCAGCAGCCATGAACTAAAAAGCAGAACATATCCTCACATTCCATCTAAATTACATTAAAACAATGTACTACTGAACTGTTAAGACAATGAATCTGTCTTGAGAGTGCCCACCATCACCAGTTAAAGAAACAGAACTTAAGATGGCTAAAGAAAAATGTGTTTGATAGCATTCTATCTGGCAAGATATCACTTAACAGTTGTGATTGTAAATTGTAACCTCTTTTCTTCTATTGTTTTGCCCTTATAGTCCCTTCTATTGTTTAGCCATATGGTCTCTGTCAGGTTCCTTGATTGTTTCTGTCTGTAGTGTAACTAAATTTGCAAGGTAAATCAATGATGGTGATGAGGTATGATTGGATAAAGAATTGTTTCCCAATATGTTATGACAGGTTAGAAAATTATTCAGTAATATTTTAGTAAAATGATTAAGGTTAGCAGGACTCAAGTTTCACTACATAAACAGGAGTCCAAAAGGAAGTCCAAAAGGAATCAACTCTAGGACACAGTCCGCAGATCAGAGCTGCCAGACTTCAACACTTTGCTAATGGCAATGGGCAGAAGCTGGAGCTCTGCAGGTGACCTGATCCTGACAGGCCATCCATTAAAGTTCATCTGCCTTAGGGAGAGTGGTGAGCATTCTTAGCATGTGCACTCTGTTTTGGTAAATTGTTAATAACGGTTGAATCAGGGTGCGTAAAACATGGCCCCGGGCTGGATTCAGCCCACCGTAATGGCCACAGGACATTGGTGAGACCTTTGGGTAAGCTCCCTGTCTGCTGAAGCCCCAAATGCCCTTCAAAGCAGCTGGCTGCTGGGGCCAGCATGAATCTCTTTGTGTGGTGCACCCCTTGACAGCTCCCATTGGCCAGTTCATGCTTGCATGTGCATACAGCATGTGGAGACTGGTTGCTCCCTCTTCCCAGGGAGTGCTGGAGTAAAGAGGTTCAATCTGAATTACCTTTTAGTCACTGGAGGATTTTGTGATATTTAGCAAATTGGAATTTTGTTGACGGTACATTATATTACTTTGGAGACGGGCACTAGTCAACCAGACTCCAGTTAGGTTGCATACTAGAATGATTTTTTCTTTAACACGGTTTCCTCACTAAGGACATGTCTACTCCAGCATTTTTACCATGAGTTAATCAACTGCCAATTTAAGCCACAGACATTAGAACACACACTCTGGAGTGTCTGTATTATCTATCAAGTTAATTGACAATCAGTTAATTGTATATAAACAAAAGACACAATGTATCACAATAATTACATGTTCTATTTGTCTAAATGTAAATATTTTAATATAGTCCACTATAGTTCAAACAGCTTCCACATGACATCATCTCAATTCAAGCAGACTTTCTATTGCAATATAAGAAGAACAGAGGCTTGCATTGGACATTTGTATTTTATGCCTGGTCTACACTTAAAAGGTAAAACTAATACAGTGATTTGTTAAGAATGTAGGCTTTTTTTGAGTTGTTTTTTAAATCAACATACTTATTATAAAGAACAACATGAATGATTAAAGGTCTAGAACAGTGGTCCCCAACATGGTGCCCACGGGCGCCATGGCACCCGCAGGGGCATTTGTGTGCGCCCACCAAGTGCTCAGGGCTGGCCTGGCCCCGGGCACGTGGCGCACGGTGAGCACCGGCCCCGGAAGCGAGGGGGCGCCGCCCCCGGGCACGCGATGCTTGGAGAGGGAGGGGGCGCCGGCCCCGGGTGCGTGGCCACGCCCCCTGGCGCCCGGCAACCTCAAATGGTTGAGGACCACTGGTCTAGAAAATATGACCTATGAGGGAAGACTGAAAGAATTGGATGCTTAGTTTGGAAAAGAGAAGACTGAGAAGGGACATAGAATCATAGAATTATAGGACTGGAAGGGACCTCGAGAGGTCATAGAGACCAGCACTCCGCCCTCAAGGCAGGACCAAGCTCCGTCTACACCATCCCTGACAAATGTCTATCTAACCTGTTCTTAAATATCTCCAGAGAGGGAGCTTCCACCACCTCCCTTGGCAATTTATTCCAATATTTGACCACCCTGACAGTTAGGAATTTTTTCCTAATGTCCAATCTAAACCTCCCCTGCTGCACTTTAAGCCCATTACTCCTTGTCCTGTCCTCAGAAACCAAGAGGAACAAATTTTCGCCTTCCTCCTTGTGACACCCTTTTAGATATTTGAAAACCACTATCATGTCCCCCCTTAATCTTCGTTTTTCCAAACTAAACAAGCCCAGTTCATGAAGCCTGGCTTCATAGGCTTCTCTAGACCTTTAATCATTCTTGTCGCTCTTCTCTGTACCCTTTCCAATTTCTCCACATCTTTCTTGAAATGTGGCACCCAGAACTGGACACAGTACTCCAGCTGAGGCCTAACTA